GACTCCATCTTTGGGAATGTGATAATTAGTATTTTATCATCATAAAATAGTATGTAGTGTTGAGATGTTTACGGCTGAAAATTAGGATATAAAATTATTTCTAGGGGATAAAAATCTAAAATAATATTCAGGAGATTTAATTAGTTGTGCATTAGAGATCCCCCCGGCCCCCCCATTAGGAGTGATAAAAAAAATTACAAATAATATATAAAAATCGGAGAAAAAAAAAATTTGAGATCGAAATAAATAAAAAAAATTAAAAATAATATGCATGAGATAAAAACGAAAATAAATAAAAATTACGAATAATATGCATGAGATAAAAATGTGATAAAAATCGGATTTTGTTTTTTTTTTTTTGAGATTTTATGGCTGAAAATTAGAAGTGGTCGAAAAAAAATACAAATAATATGCAGGAGATAAAAACGAAAATAAATAAAAAAGAATACAAATAATATGGAGGATATAAAAATGTGATAAAAATCGGAAAACAAAATTTAAAAAAAACAATTTACAAATATGCCGTTAGGGTTTTTTAGGGTTGTCCAACGTTCGAAAATTAGGATGTAAAATAATATTTAGGAGATAGAAATCTAAAATAATATTTAGGAGATTTAATTAGTTATGCATTAGAGATTTTATGGCTGAAAAGTAGGAGTGATAAAAAAAAATACAAATAATATGTTGGAGATAAAAACGAAAAAAATAAAAAATTACAAATAATATATAAAGATGTGATAAAAATAAGAGAAAAAAATTGAGCATCGAAAAAAAAAAAATTACAAATAATATACAGGAGATACAATGACACATAAATAAAAAATTACAAATAATATGCAGTATATAAAATAATATTTAGGAGATTTAATTAGTTATGCATTAGAGATTTTATGGCTGAAAAGTAGCAGTGATAAAAAAAAATTACAAATAATATGTTGGAGATAAAAACGAAAAAAATAAAAAATTACAAATAATATATAAAGATGTGATAAAAATCGGAGAAAAAAAAATTTGAGATCGAAAATAAATAGAAAAAATTACAAATAATATGCAGGAGATAAAATGAAAATAAATAAAACATTACAAATAATATGCAGGAGATAAAAATCGGATTTTTTTTTTTTTTTTTGTTGAGATTTTATAGATGAAAATTAGGAGTGGTCGAAAATAAATAAATAAATTACAAATAATATGCAGGAGATAAAAACGAAAATGAAAAAAATACAAATAATATGGAGGATATAAAAATGTGATAAAAATTTGAAAACAAAATTTGTTAAATTTTTTTTTTTACAAATATGTCATTAGGGTTTTTTAGGATTGACATAAGGAGTGGTTAGTTCTAATATTTTTTTACGAGGAGTTATGTCTCATAAACCCTAAAAATAAAAGGGTCGAGCGAAGCTTGCTTGAGTTTTTTGGCCGTTCAAGATTACACGGGTGGTTTTTTGCATTTTACTGGGTAATTAACGTTCAACCAAAAAAAATAAAAACGTTCGACCAAAAAAAAAAAAAAACTAGGTTATTAATTCACAGTTTACACCCAACACACGTCTTGGAACTGGTTGAAGACGGCGGCGAAATGAATCAGAAAAATTACACAATCCTCAATGAAAACAGAATCAGACAACTCCAAAATAATGATATCTCCATAGTTTCCACACATCTCTTCATTTCGAGAGGATTAGCCTTCACACTCTTGCGCCGTAACAATTGGAGCACAAACTCCGTTTTCGACGAATGGTTTTCCGATGAGGACAAAGTTCGCAAGTCAGTCGGGTTATTGCCGGCGGCACAAGAATCATTAAAACCGGACAACTACCTCTGCAAGATTTGCTTCGACAAAATCGAGCCAGATGTAAAAACGTTGTCATGCGGCCCATGCAGCCATCCCTTTTGTCCGGATTGCTGGAAGAGTTACGTGTCTTCCTCGATCAAAGATGGGCCCGGATGCTTGTCGCTACGCTGTCCAGAGCCCGAATGCAAAGCTATGGTGGGCCCGGAATTCGTGGAGTCCTTGGCTTCCGAAGAAGATAAAGACAAGTACTATCGGTATCTTCTTCGGTCCTACGTGGAGGGCAGTCAGAACCGGAAGTGGTGCCCGGGCCCCACATGCGATCTAGCGGTCCAGATTATTGATGGTTCCGAAAACAACTACGAAGAAGTGAATTGCGATTGTTCTCATAGGTTTTGCTGGAACTGCAAGGAGGAGCCCCACCGCCCTGTCGACTGCCAAATAGTCGACAAGTGGCGGTCGGAGAACAATGACACGTGGATAAGGGCTTTCACAAAGCCATGCCCCAAGTGTGGCAGGAACATAGAGAAAAACAAGGGCTGCAATCACATGACCTGTCGAATCCCCTGCGGGCACAACTTTTGCTGGTTGTGCCTCGGGCCCTGGAAACACGACGGCACCCACATTTATTGCAAAGAGTACGAGGATAGGGATCAAGAGGCTAACACATATTATGCATTTCACTACCAAAAATGGGCCTCGAATCACGAATCCAGGGAAACTGCTATGAAAAATCTCCGTCGGGTGAAAAACGGGCTAATTCAGAACGTAGCCGACTTTGAATTGCAGTTTGTGATCGAAGCTCTGGAGCAGATAGTTGAATCCAGGCGAGTATTGAAATGGAGTTTTGCGTATGGATATTACTTGCCTTCAACCGAGACACGAAAGATTGTATCTTTACATAACCTGCAAGAGGAGGCGGAGGCTGTCGTGGAAAAGCTTCAACATTTTTACGACAAGGAGATAGTAAAATACGCCAATATCAATTTTCCTTCGGATAAGTTGACGGATTTTCGGGGGAAGCTTGTGGATATGACCAATGTCACGAGAAATTGTATTGAGAAGTTGGTTATAAAAGGATTGGTGAATGATGTTTCTGAAGCTAAGACATATTGCAGTCTTTTTAAGGTGGTAGTGAAGAGTGTTACAAGTTGTATGTTTATGGCTCTTGGTAGTTGTTGCATACTTAGATTAATGTTGGAAGTTTTTTAGAAATTTTTTGGGGTTAATTATTGATTTTTTTTTCGACTTTGTGTTCAATCTGTACAAGAAAAATGTCATTTTGCACTCCCCTTTTAAAATTTTGTCCCGAGGGGCGTACTTCGTTTTTAATATGTGAAACTGATCATGATCAATGACATGTTTCTTTAATGGGATTATTAGTGAGAAACCCCTCACTCATTATTGAATATGATTCTATCCCCTTCAACGCAGTAACCATATCAAGGCATGTTTTTGATTATTCAGGTATCACTAGTAGAAAACCGGCCACAGGCGACGAAAACTTGCGACGAAACTAGGACTCTTGCGACGAAATTAGGACTACTGCGACGATTTATATTTCGTCGTAATGGGGGTCCAAATTCGTCGCCAATGGTCCCGCCGCAAAGGCTGCGACGAATTCTATATTTCGTCGTTAAGGAGGCGACGAAACCCCTTTTTGTCGCAAAAAGTCGATTTTATATAATAAATTAGATTTTTGTGTTTGCGACGTTTATATCTCCACTATCGTCGCTACTGTCTGCGACGGTTTGTTGATTTCGTCGCAACATAACAATTTCAAAAAAAATAAAATAATATTAGTTTGCGACGAAATGTAGATATCGTCGCAATGTATTGCCTCGATATTTCTTTGTTCGTCGCCAATGTTTGCGACGAATGTTAACTATTCGTCGCAAGATTTAGTTCTACCAAAACAAGATTTGCGACGAAATATAGTACATCGACGTACTTCATTTGCGACGAAAATGATTATATTCGTCGCAAATGTTACTGTACAGTTTTATATATATATTATATATTATTTTATATATATAATAAATTACCTGTAAATAATTATTAATTTCACTAAAACAATTAAACTACTAACTTAAATTACATAGCAAAATTAAAGTCGAAGTCTACATAAAATTAAATACCAATTTAACAGTACATATACGAATCTAGAATTACATAAAAACTTAGAAAAATATTGTAGCATTACAAAATGAAATTAGTCCGAATTGAGTCGTTCTTCGTCGTCATTTGAAGTACCCGAATTTGGAGCTTTGGAGACGGGCTGATCGACAATTCCTTTTTGTCTTAAAGTATTAAGTAATGAGTTCAAAGATTCTTTAAGTGAGCTCACCTCATCTCGCGATTCTTGCAATTCTCCTTCTAAGAGCTCGACTTTAGTCTCCAACTCTTCATTTCTAACAGAAGAAAATCGTGATCTTGCAACTTTCTTAGTGGTTGAGCTTTGAATCCCAAGTACTTTTGTCTTACCCAACACTCTTTCACAAGCTATTGAGTCGGCCGTACTTTGATCTTTTCCATCATTAATACACTCTTCGTATACTCTTTCCAAGTCTTCCTGAAAATACAAATAAATAACCATAAATTCATAAATTAAACAAAAAATTGGGCAGCATAACATCTATTGTATGGATATACCAAAAAAATATCAATACATAGAAAACACATCAACAAATTCAACATATATACCAACCAATAGATCAAACACAATTTAACATATATACCAAACAATAGATCAAACACACAATACCAAAACAAAAAACCCACCAACTAATTCAACATACAAAATCGATGATCATCTATCAAAACCCAACTCCTATCCTTTGCCATTTTGTAGTAAGTAAATAGTCTTACTGATGCTGGTAAAAAATAGCATGACAAATATTTCAGTTATTCAAAATATTGTTTTTATCATGTAGAATGCATTAATTAATATAGAAAAAAAAAATCGAAATGAGAAGAAATTTTCCGAACTCCCAATACTGCCCTTTACCACTTCTCCGAAATGAGAAGAAATTTTACGGAACCACGCACACAAATATTTCTTTTATTAACATAATAATCATATAATCAGTTTTACATAATTATTGATTTATTTATAAATCAAGTGCTAAAAAGAATTATTCAATATTTAATAAGTATTTTTAATATATGGAAATGTAGATTGTCTTCTACTATTAAGAACGCATAAAAATCGGAAGGAAGAGATAAGTTGCATCATATAAGTTTGCGTTAACATGCGACAACAAAGTTGAATGAATACAGAAAAACTTTGTCGTGGTAAAGGTGAGGGAAAGGATAATTTCTTACTCGAGAAAGTCTAAATGTGCAAAACTTGCGCTTCCTTTTCCAGCTATACTTGATTAGTTGTGTTCCTTTCTTCAAAGCAATGAGTACCTTCAGTCAACAAGTCAACAAAATTAAGAGAGTTGTTCATAAGTGCATTATCAAATAAAGAGAGTTGTTCATAAGTGTATTTAGTCTGTTACGATACACCCCCAAAGTGAAAACCCCAAATATACCCCAAAAATACACCCCCAAATACACCCCAAAATCAGCAAATACACCCCCAAAAACACCCCAAAATCAGCAAATACACCCCCAAATCAGCAAATACACCCCCAAATACACCCCAAAATCAGCAAATACACCCCCAAATACAACCCCAAATACACCCGAAAATCAGCAAAAACACCCCCAAATACACCCCATAATCAGCATAAACACCCCCAAATACACCCCAAAATCAGCAAATACACCCCCAAATACACCCCCAAAGCAACATTGAGA